AGAACTGGGGTACAGGCCAGAGGCTCAGGGGCGGTGAGAGGCTTCACCAGAGACAGAGTGGGGAGCAGAACAGGCAGATGGACAAAGTACACTGCTTAGGGGAGCAGCGGGCGGGTCAGGAGAGGTCTGCGCGCCATGTGGTCACCTCCGGGGCCGGCAAGGATCGAACTCATGCAGAAACGGCTTTAGCTTCTCAGTGCTGTGCTTTAACCAGCTGCGCCACCAGGGAGGGCCTCATCTGCTTGTTTTAACTTGTATGAACCTTTCTTCTGGCCACATAAGCCTGTGGCTACATTAGTGGGATAAGGATATCTAAAAATACTTTTTCACTGTAAGTATAATTTCTTGGAGTCCCTTTAGTACAGAAGCATAATGCTACCTGTTTAACATATTAAGTAGCTGCAGTGGCTATTGTTCAGGGTATCATTAAGTAATCACAACACCAATTATCATGAAAGTTATACTATCACTTTCTATTTCTGTATGCAGGATATCACTGGCTAAAAAGAATGAGTTATGGTATTTCATTATTTTTAAATGATATATCTATAACATCCAAATAGTAACCTCTTGTCTACAATGCTAGACCCATATGTCTGATCCTATAAATAAACCCTAGGAAGGCATACATTTAGTCCTGCCACAGCACAGTAAGCCACTATTTGTTATTACTGGAACCTAGGAACTTAAATCAGGAGCCACACATTTTATTTGCGTTAAGTATATTATAACAGTAATCTATTTTATGAATTTAGAATAGTTTCTATATACATAAATTTATTCATTTAGTGAATTATGACAATGCCATCTGAATGATGGATGGCCTGAATAAACTTTGAAAACTTTTAATGACCACAAATTATCACTGATATAATTCTACAGTATTTATAGAAGAGTTACATTCCAAGTGGAAATTTTATGTTGATCTTCAGAAAGAATAGATACTTTTACTTCTTTTCAGAAAGTTAGTATGTGGGCCTCTGCACCACAATTAAGACACCATTGAAGCAAACTCATAGAAGTTTAGTTTATATTCTTACATGTTATCCCTAAACAAGCCTAAATGCCTTTTACAGATATTGCTTAATGTTATGAAAGAGAAATATTTTCACTGTGTATTTCCTTGGCTCAAAGAAATGTATCAATATACAGAAGTGTCTACTCACGTTTATCTTGTTCTGCTTCCACTCCTTCACTTTCTGTGTCACTTGGCAAGATCCAGGGTTGATGAACTACCTGCAGTTGCTTTAAAGATTCATCCTGCCAAAGAAACAAAATATTTGCATTAAACTCCAGATTGATATCAAGAATATAAATGTGGATGGCTACTTTAGTCTCCATGAATCACATAGTACAAAAAAAAAAAAAAAAAAAAAAAAGAAAAGAATTTCCTTACAACAGAGAAGAGTTCTAAGTTTAAATTAATTTTCAGTCCTGGACATGTCATAAACCTTAGAATCATTTTTTCTCATTCTCCTTTTAATGAAATTTAATGTCTTAATAAGAAAAGTATCCAAACTGTGTACTTCACTGAATTAATATTTTTTATGGGACCCTTGACACCCATTTGTGGAAATATAATGAAATATTCATTATAAAATTACATAAGATGTATTTCTTTGGCATCAAAATTTCAAATTCCCTTTAATGAGAATAAATATTAGTAGGATTTAGAGAGCACTCTCAATGTTACCCTTCAATACTACTTCACTGCCTCTTTCTCACTTCCTTATTTTTGTTAAGCTATTTCTCATATTTTCATTAGTGACTATGCTTTCTGTTATTGACCTAAAACAGACTCTCAGCATCTGTCATCCTGACTGTGGTAATAGTCATCTCTGAAGTTCTTAAGAATTAAGTTTCGTACCCTCCCTAATTCTCCTTGCCAGTTCTCTGTCAGAGTGAGATTTTTTAAGATATCATGATATATTCATCACCTTCCTTACAATCCTCATTATTCCCAAGATAAAATCTAAACTCAAGACCCTTCATGAGCCATACGTGTCTAGCCGGATCTACCACCTCTTCCATCTCCAGCCCACCTGAACTGACATTTCCACTCAGCTATAATTAACTAGCTCCTCAAGTTTGTCTGTCTGATCTGCCATTGTGTTTTCATATGTTATAGTTCCTTCTGAATATGCACTAATTTACTTCTATGTCTCAAACATTAACAGTTAACCAGATGTTACGTCTCCTAGAAGTCTTTTCTGATCTTTAAAACACTTACTACCTCTATTCATTTATGTTCCTATTGTTCCAATACAATAATCATTGTATAGTGATTTTCTTTTCATAAAGATAACATGGCATCAAAAAATAATGTGGCAAGTCCTTGAGAACATAATGATTTTTTTTGTCAGTGCAATTCCAGCATCTGTGTAGAGGATATAAGATAGAAAAGAAAGGAGAAGAGGAAAGAGAGAACAGGAGAGGGTGAGGAGAGGGGAGGGGAGCAGAGGGAAGAGGAGAAGAGGGGAGAAGGGAAGGGAAGGAAGAAAAGAGAAAAGGGAAAGAGGATGGGACCCCTTTAGAATAAAGTAACAATTTCAAATTTATATGACTCAAATTTATATAGCATCCTTTCAAACTCATTTGAAAATTAAAAACTTAAGATCAACCATTATGACTAGCAATTCACAGTTTTAACCACTCAAATTCTTCTATTAATTTCCTCTTCTTTCAGTGATCTTTACCTCCAGTTTGAAAGTTTGCTTTATTTTGTTCAGTCAAATATTACCAAATAAATACCAAGTCTCTGATCTCTAAGAAACATATCACTACACACATCCATTTTGCTTAAAGCAATTCTCGTCACATCATTAATTATGAAAGTTATCGCTGTTTAGTAAGATTCTAGAGTTTTGAAAGGGCACAATTTCTTAGGAGTTAGGACAGAGGATTGAACTGGTAAAGCATAAGGGGCAATTGAGGGAAGTGAAAGATCTACTGGATATTATAATGGTAAATACAAGATGTCAAACATTTACCAAATCCACAAGCTTCACGCATGTAACAAAACTTAATGTATACAAATAAAGAAAACATACACACACACACAATAAGAAGTAATTACAAGGTTGGAGGGTCCCAACATAGAAAGCAAAATATTTTAAAAGATTCTAAATGCATAAAAAAATATATGAAATAACCTCATTGAAAGGGGTAGGATAATAAGGTGTACCCTAAGTAGCATCGATAATTTCTGGAGCAGTATACTCTACTTGATAAAGTGGCTTCCATGGGTATATAGGTTAATAAATTTTGATTCTATTATATATACAGTCATGCATTGCTTACCAACATTTTGGTAAACAAGTGAACACATATATAATAGTGATTTTAATGAGCTATATTATACAGTCTAGGTGTATGGTTAGCTATGCCACATAGATTTCTGTGATTCCACTCTGACATTTACACTATGCTGAGATTACCTAGTGATGCATTTCTCAGAACATATTTCTTTCATTATGTGATATGTGGCCAATATATTTAGGCATTGAATAATGAAATAAATGGATGGCAGAAGGTGAGAACCAGGTTCTCACTATTGGAGTGGGCAATAATCAAGAGGAAAGGGTAGAATGACCCATGTACAATGCACTATAAACCATGTGAGTTAAAGACATCAGTAAGAATTCATACGTAGCTTACTCTATATATTGAGAGATGGCTATCAAATACTAGCACACACAAAATGATGAGATATATCAAAAGGAAAAAGTTGTCACCGAAAAATCTCTCAGTGACAAAAACTAGAAAAATTTTCTCAAATAAAGTAACAGTTGTTTACCTAAAGTATGAAATACCTATGAATGTATTCTGATAAATATAATTAGTAATGAATAAATTGATGAGACAAGACAAATATGCCATAAAGAATAATACCAAATAATATATGTATGTATCTGCAGAGAGGAAGTGTATAATAACTTCCTACTCCTTAAATGTGGGCTGTGCATAGTAAACTTCTTCCAAAATGTCCAATCTGAAAGGAAAAGCTAAATGTGCAATATCACAGTGGAGAGCTGACAAATATTACCTATCATAACAATAATCATAACAATAATTCCTATCAACTGTATATGTTCTTGAAAGGACTGTTGACAGAAACAATCAGTGTGTGAGGACTAAAGGTAAACAGAGGAGCTTTTATTTTTAGAGACAAATGAAGACCATCTGCTGAGCAGTGCCTAAGATACAGTTAGTTGTGGCTTATATCCCATCGTGAAAAGCAGGCTGAGTACAATGGAAAGAGTCCGTTAACATTGTGTGACAACATATTTCTTTCAGTAGATACCTGTAAATTTCTAATATCTTTTGGTAAAAAGAAATTGAGGGTGCACTCTAAAAAAGTAGGAGGACTTTATTTTTATAGTCAGATGTAATCTATGTGTGATAATTGCAAGATATAGCTCATAAAATCTTTATCTTAAGGATGTCTTTTGTGGAACTATATCTGATCAAATATTCCATTGCTGTTTCTCTTTCTAGTGGAGATAGCTGCAACAGAGTGGGGGGATTTGGAATATTGGTGTGCAAGGTTTCAGGGCAGCCAAGAGGCTTCTTCACAGCCAAACTACTCTGTACTTGTTGATATTAGTTGACTCGTGGCTTTTTGTACCATACCCAGCTGATTTCTGCTTATTTTCTTCCACAAAATGAAAATGGAATTTTACCTCTATATTTTCATCCTAAAACACACATTATCCCAATCTGACCATGAGAAATAATACAATCTCAAGTGAGACAAGCAACAAAATAAATAACCTATACTCTTCAAAATTGTTAAGGTCTTCAAACACAAGGAAAGTCTGAAAAATGATCCCAACCAAGAAGACACTAGTGAAACATGGGGTCTTAGATAGAATATATGGGCCAAAACTAGGCATTAGGTAAAAACTGAGAAAACCTGAATAAGGTGTGGGTTTTATTAGTAACGATGCATTAATATTGATTTACTGTGACAAATGTACCATACAAATATAAGGTACTGATAATAGTTGAAACTGGTGAGAAGAATATAAATCTCTATACTATCTTTGCAATAGTTCTGTAAATATAAAACCATTCTATTATTAAAAAAATATTTAAATTGAAATAAGCAAAAATAAATTTAAAATAATTATTTTCTTCTTTAAAATAAAGGCACACACAATACTTCCAGCACCAGCAACTCTCAAATACAATTTATCTGTTATATTAAAACTTAAATTCCCATCCTATTAGCACAGGAGAGATGGGCTGTACAATGAAAAATCTTTCACCCCAGGATCAGAAGTCACACCTTTCTATGTTGGTTAATTTAGGGCAGGTAATTTTTCCTCAGAAGGTAGGTGGTAAGGGTACTAATTTAGACACTCTCTAGTTTTTTACAAAAGGTAAATTCTAGATCTAGCTTTCTTTCATAGTCAGTAGAATGTGAGAGGTACTCAATGAATTATTATAGAGAAAATTAGCAAGCAATTAAAGGTAATCACTCTTAGAATATATAGTTTATATATAGGTCAGTGCTTTAAGATTTAAGTTCTTTTTCAGCTGTATCAACTATTGATTTGGTCTTTCAGGGCTATAATAAAGTAGCAGGATAAATGTGGAAAGACAGATTCAAAATTCCATAACACTATAAAGGATAACAGAATTAAAATTGCATGTAACAAAGAAGAGAATCACATCCTTACAGTTTTTCAAAAATAGAAAGCAGTATCTGATGTTTACAGAAGAATATAAAAAATGAACTTTTTGGTTTTGTAAGGTAAAATCAAATGACTAAATCTCTTCAGTTGAAAAAGAAAAGTTTAAAGTGACAGACACTTTTTAATTTAAAAGTGATTTTAGTTGTGTTTTTTTTTTTTTTGGCCCAAATACTAAAATCTGTTTTCATAAGGAAATATATGACTAATGAGTCAAAACTGTTACTTTGCTCTATAATAAATAGTTCAGAATATTAAGCAATACCACTGATTAGTTTCTGATTTAATGGTTTTCTTCCAAAACAGATAAGCAGCATTCAACTATTTTATATTTATTACAAGTTATATAAAATACAAATGGAATATTAGCTTGCGAAAATGTGTAATTTGAGAAAAATTTTAAAAATTTGAGTTACTGGAATCACATAGCACAGTATTACTAGTAATATATTATTTAAATATTTTACTTTGCTTTTCACTTGAAAAAGGCTAGTAAAATAATGCACCTGTTTGCTTTGCCAATGCCAATTGGAAGTACTATGCATGTCCAAATCACAGTTGTTC